CAGCAAGCTGTAAAACTAGTGACTGTCACACAAGAAGAGTTACTACAGCAGCAAAGCAAAGAGAAAGCCTTGAAAACAGGCTGAATTTGGATGCAGACAAATGAGAAAAGCCACAAGCAAGCAGGAGGGGACCTGGAGGTACTAACAAATTGCATAACTACTAATAGCGGTGCAATGAAAGTCGCTGGTCAGAGAAAAATGCCTTAGTAACTCACATTACTACAGATTATGAAACAGAAAGGCAAAGCTCATTACGTTTTTAAAGCGCCCCAATAAGAACACTTGGTATTTGACTTCAATGTCATTAATAACTGGTTTAGAGTCCACAGCACATCCCTGCACGACACTTAAAAGTCTCCAGTACCAGTACTGTCGGGCCACAGACTGTTCCACTGAACAGAAGCCATTCCTTCAGGTTATTTTGGTGGATCAACTCCAAATTCCCCAGAATTTACCATGTCACCACTCATCTTAAGCAAAATGGCTTCAATTTGAGTTGCAAGCTGATGGAATCTGGTGACTTTTTCCTAAAGTAACTAACAAAGTTTGGACTAAGTACGTGTAAAATACAAATAATATTATTCACTATTTTTAAATCAAAATTCTCTCATACACTTTTGTGTCGGACAAACAGCTCCATCATGATGTAAGAAAATTACTTCAAGACGTGTAATTAAGGTAGAGATAAGTCTGATCTATTACTTTATTTTCTTCCATAACAAATAGGGAATTATTCTGAAAAGACATTATCTCCACCACGACCACTAGATTCCCACTGTCAGTAAAAACAATGAACAATTTCAGAAAAAGCTTGCAACCTCTTCTGAAGGCTCCAGTGAAAGAAATCCTACAGACAGAACACAAAACTTTTACAGGAAATCCATTAATACTCAGCATTTCATTATAGTTTAACTGGTTTGCTGATATTCTTCAGCATCCACAAATGTTCACATACCATGCTATTCCTAAAACAAATACACCCCAAGCCCAGGGCGTTGAGAGAGAAAGAAACAGCCCACCAAAAAAAAAAAAAATTCTTTTATAAACTATATACTTTTCTTAGAATCACCTAGTACTAAAACAAGTCCTTCCACATAGTCACTTATATTGTCCATTAACACATCCAGACAAATAAAAGGGCCTGAAAATAAGCTTTAAAAAAACAAAAAAGCAATGGATACCTTATTTTAAGAAGGGGACGGGTGGCAGGGAGGACAGGAATCCTGTGAACTTGCATTTACAGCTATCACAGCAGAAGCCTTGATAAAAGGCAAGGGAAATGTGCAGTACCTGCTTGTCCCCAAGCTCATAGGTGCAAAATTCAGGAAGTCACCACCTATTAACATTAAAGGCTGTCCCATTCCACAGGGAATCATGCATAAAACAAGAATTCACACAGCACAGAAGAAACACAGTTCTCTTTGCACAGAACTAGCCTGCTTAAAGGCCATGACAGGTACTGATCCCACAGCAAGGCAAGTATTTGTAGATCCCTGCATGTTCAAGTAAACAGGGTTGCTTTTATGCAGTTTGTTGTTTGATTAGCTCTTAATTAAATAATTGTTTAAAAACCTGTTCTTAATGCTCAGATACTTAGTTTCCATCTTCTCATCCAGCTTTCCTCCACAGATTTAATTACTCCTTTGACTGACACTTTGTATATCTTCTCAGCAAGATTTCACAGAATCAGAGTGGTGTAGACTAGAAGGGACCTCTGGAGGTCATCTGGTCCACCCAACCTGCTCAAACAGAGCCACCAAGAGCAGGTTGTCTGGACCATGTCCAGACAACTTTTGAATATGACCATAGATGGAGAGTCCACAACCTCTCTGGGCAGCCTGTGGCAGTGCTTGGTCACTCTCACAGCGAAAAAGTAGTTTTCCTCACTGATACTGAATGAGTTCTCCTCAGGCCAGAAAGTGAAAGGATGTGAGAACTTCTCTGCTTTGCCCTGCTTTTTGACCACACACAGCATACAACCCAAAGTGTAATACTTACCAAGAGCAAAGTTTGAACTTTTACCCAAAAAAGACAACAAAAAAAAAACCAAACCAAAACACACTTGTTCATCTTACTTGGCTTACAGTAGAGTCTACCCACCTTGGGGACCAGAGACCTCAAGTAACACAGGTTATAAAAAGCAGACCAAAATATAATATTTACTTGAAGATTTTAATATTCCCCTTCCCATTGTGAAAAAAAAGCCTAACATTTCCACAATAATTTTAAGCTCAGAATTTTTGTTATTTCAAGTTAGTTGTTTAGAGTTCTATTGCATTACTACTTCATTTACTACTGAAAAACTAAGAAAAATGTACCTAAACTACCCTATTTTAGAAATAACTAGGAAAACCAGTGCTCATGGAACAGAAATATAACACCAGTAAAAAGTTATTTCAGACAAATACTTCTTGTGCTTTCCCCTCAAAAAAACTCAGCTAGCTGGATCAGTTGGGTTTGCTTGAAGGACAAAGTAACTTTTTTTTCCTAACAAAGTTAGAGCACCTGTATCAATGCATGGGATGAGTCCTTCACTCAGTCTTTTCCCTGACACTTTCTGGACACCCTCCGCAGCGCTCATTTCTAACACCTACTTCTACTGCTCATTTGTAGTGAATGATCCACTTCTGAGGAATCCAACTAATTTACACAAGAGTTCACACTGACTAGCTTAGGTACTGCAGAAAAAGAACAGAAATGCCAGTATGCAGATGTTAAGGTAACTGAGCAGTTTATTTTTTTTAAAAGGTTTCCTCTAACAATAGTAGCAAAAACCATTTCTAATAAAAACAACCATATCTGAGGAAGTTAATAGCCCTGATAAGACACCTTATTCCTTATAAGTGGCAAGCAAAGTTTAGATTTTAGCATGTCTGTAATTTTCTATTTCATAACCACTCTTTCTTTGAATACTTAATATGGCATTAAGGACTGCACATCACGCTCTTCACTCTCCCTTCCATGCTATCATGCCCCCCATTCCCAGAGTGTAGCATCAGGAAGTTTCACAGGAGACAAGCAGAGATGAGTAAGAAAGAAATTATAACCAATTTCTCACATTCTCAAAGTTTGTTCTCTCTCCATAACATCAAGCCTTGGGAAACGTAGAAAAGGTTGGAGGATTCACAGCTGTTAGCATAAAATTCTAAGTGCTAAGTCAGCCGTAAGAACTACATGGGTTTTTTAAAAAAAAAAGTGGCGGGGAATTCAATGGTCACAAAGTTTACGTTTAGTTAACATATGAACCCTGTATAACTAATGCTTGGCTTCTCCAGGACCACACTTGTGACTCATTCCCCTTCTTTCATCCTCAATTACAAATCTTAATCCCTGTATTTTCCAAAAAGCATCACATGCAAGCAGAGGTGCAGCCAAGACAACTGTGCAAGATGCTGTTCAGAATCTTTTGTTCTAATACCTGCTATTGCATACTAAACGGTTGTACACCATTAGTAAGTAGGAGAAAAACCTTGCATGCAGAAAGATTCTTCCTGCACCCCCAAATCTAGTCTGTTCCCAAAGCAGGCTGCCCATGAAGAGTCCCCTGCCAAAGCAGGAACTTCTAACAGCAGCAGTCAACCAGCACCTTCCCATCAAGCAAAAAAGATTTCCCAAGGTAAATTGGATTGCAAGATACGGTAGCAGCTGGTCAGCTCCAGACAACCAAAACTTCTTTTTGAACCACTGCAGCCAAATACAAGGTCAAGATTTTAATTCTAATTACTTAGATTAACATTTCTGTAACGCTTCTTAAGTAAGCCAGGTTTAAGGCATCCAACACAGCTCTTCATATTTCAACATGCTATCAGATGCCAAAGAGTACCATAGCAGATGAAATTCTCTCAATGGCAAATTCTTACTATCAAACCATGTTTAGTCTCCTCAAAAATGTTTCAACTAAAGGGAACAATCCTTTGCCCAGTCAAACATTTCTCATTTTAGCATATGATTAAAAAAAAACCCTACAGATTCACACTCAATGTGATACTAACATTTGTTTATGCAAACTGGACAGTAGTTAAACTTAGTTTTTTCTTAACAGTTTTATGCTAAAAAACTGTGTCTATAGTCAGGTTGCTGTTACAACAAGGGTTTATTACCACAACAGAAGACTTTTACTTGTATAAAGTAAAACCAAGCTCATGCAAGCAGTTATCAAACTGGTAGAGAAAACCCCCAAACCAAGTTTTACCTGAAATGTTAAAAATTTGCAAGTTTCACATAATAGAGTTGCCTTTCTGGGACACTGCAGAGACCTTGCACAGAATTTACTTTTGAACTGAGCTCTGTTATCCAGCCTAGACCCTTTTAGTAGCTCCTTTCCCAACTACTAGACCAGCAAACCAAACAGGCATTTCATAATACCTATCAGAAGTTCACCAGCAAGTACTGATGTACAGTTACCAGTTGTTCTTATTTTTTTAAAAAGACAAGTCACAGGAACTATGCTGTGTGCAAGCATACCTTATTCCACTCCATGTGTTTGCAGAACTCAAACTTCTAAGAGAACAACTTTAGGAACAAGTGCAGAATACAACAAATAATTCCATACAAATGCATGCCATGACAGAAGATATCCCAGTTCCCATACTGTTACTTTTCTCATCCTACATCCCCCATGCAGAGATCAGGAATGCTGTCTGGTTGGGAAAAGTTTTTGTTGTTTTTTAAACATATCAGAGCTCTAACAGTAAAGTCACACGTTCAGTCCCAAAGTCTACAAGTCTTTAATAAGACAGAGAACAGGATCACTTAAGGATAGTTTATCAAATACAAAGAGTTCCTTTTCAACTGATGCAACCAGTAATATTACCTCAATGTTTAGGAGAAGTGTCAGCTACTTTAAAATCTGAATTTTAGTTATAAGTATAAGGTATTTCCTCACAGTTAAGGGTTTAATGTTTATCACAGAATATCCTGAAAAAAAAAAAATATATGCCTTCCAAAAAAAAAAAAAAAGCCAAACCAAAACACACCCAAAACTTTATCAGACCACTCACCTGCAACACTGGTAATGGTAACAGGAACTCCTTGAACTTGAACACCTGCAGCACTCAGGTTGGCAACACTTACTGTTTGAAGATTAGGTACTGAAGCAAGCTGGGCAGCATTCAGAGTGATCGGGGTACCAGCAACAGCCACTGGTGCAATCTGGGCAATGGTTGTGCCACCACTTGAAGACACGGGGGTAATGGTTAGTTGTTGGGGTAACCCAGCATTTTGAACTTGAAGATTTGAAAGGCTTTGCAGATTCTGAACCTGTACAGTTTGCCAGCTGATCTGCCCTGATGGTGTTAAAGTTGGAGCCCTGATGAGCACCTGAGTCGGACTCACCGCCTGCAACTGAACGTTCTGCAAAGGCTGCTGCTGGATGGTCTGTATAGTCTGTCCCGACTGGAGCTGAAATGACTGTGGAGGAATGGCCTGAATAATCTGCTGTTGAGGCTGCTGGATCTGTATCTGCTGCAGAATAGGCTGACCTACGATTTGGACCTGCTGAAGGGAACCCGACTGATCCTGGACGTTCTGTAGTCCATTGGACTGAAGCTGTCCAGAGCTCTGGGCTTCGGAGTCTGCAGCAGTTGTTTGAGGTTCCTCAGTTGTCTGCTCTGAACTGCTGCCTGCTGCGCTTGTGTACTGGCCAGTCTCTGCAGAGCTTACTAGCGTGTCACTGCTAGTTAGAGATGTTGAGGCAGTGGTCGTAGAGGTGGAAGATGAAGAAGGAGACTCTGGCATTGTACTAACAGAGGCAGAAGTGACAGGCGTAGACGCTAGCTGATTTCCGTTGGAAACTCCGCTCTCAGTAGACTGGCCAGCTTGACCCGAACCCCCTCCAGCTGCCACATTGTTTATCACGGGCAATGCTAGGGTTACCCCACCAATGTTTATAGGTAACGTTGTTACAACTTGTGCCTGAGTACCAGGAATAGTTTGCAGTTGCAGTGGTATGGAAACACCAGGCCTAATTTGGACTGGAACTGTCTGATTTGCTAGGTTTTGAGCAATAACATTACCCGAAGCTGTCCTATTTGCAGTTGTGAGGATAGCTTGATTATTCCCTGCAGGAATAAGCTGAATTTGACCCTGTACGTCTTGTAGACCAGTAGCATTAGATGGATTGATTTGAAGTTGTTGACCTTCTGTTGTCTGAATCTGTGGGATCACTTGGTATTGGACACTACCGCTTGGATTTTGTACTTGAATGACCTGGAATTGTCCAGGGGTTGTTGAAGAAGAATTGCCCGATTTGGTTTTTGAAGGAGACGTACTTCCATTGTTACTGCTGGAGGGACTTGCTGCACTCGAGGCAACAGAAGATCCTTGCTGAGCAACATTATTTTCTTTTGAAGCAGCAGGAGCAGCAGCAACAAGCTGCCAAGCGTTTCCAGCAAGCTGAGTTGTTACCAATTCTAACTGCTGTGGCTGATTCTGAAGCTGCACCAAGCCTTGATTTGGATCTATAATAATCTGCTGCTGTCCAGTTCCTTGAGTCTCACCAGGAGTTCCTATTTTGCTGCAAGTGGCTGCTAGCAAAGCAAGAGGTGAAGGCTGAGAATCCTAACCATAAAGAGAGAAAACAGAACAGATTCAGGAGAAGAGCAGGAGTATGAACCATTAGAAGTAAGCATTAAGGTTTACACAGGAAGCAGAAAAAAAAAGAAAAAAGCTTCTGCATAGAGACCAGTGATACAGCTCTGAATAAGGAACTATGTATTTCTGTAAATAATCTTTAAATGTAAAGCCCTCAATTATCAATGAATACGTGACAGCCGCATCCTCAATCCAGTCTTCCCCCTCCTCCAAAAAATAAAGAAATTTTTAAAAAATGCTTCTATAACATGGAAAGCAGCTATCACTGCAAAATGCAATAAAAAAAAACCAACACAAAAAAAAACCCCAAAAAACCCCCCAAAAAACCATGTCCAGGCAGTAAAAATCTTGCACCCAACCAACTATGTTTCATCCCACCCAAAGCAAGATGCCCTC